GGATAGTGCCCTCCCCGGGCCTGTGCCCATCTTGCCGGCCGTGATCTGGCAGCCGCCGGCAAGGGAATTAGAGAAAAATTCCCATAAAAGTCAGGGTTCAGGGTGCTGTTTCCAGAAATCCCATGTCGGATTTCAGCCGATGCCTTTTTTGTATTTTTCATGTGAACAAGACACCACAAAGGGCCCAAGCCAAGTAATTTTATGGTGCTGGTGATAGTTTCTCTACACTGTGTCTATACCTACCTATTCTTGTTTACTGCTTCACGCAATATCTAGATCTCCTTTGCGCGCCAGGTCCTTTTTCACACCCGTCAACTCTGGAATAGACATTGAAGCCCGACATTCTTTGGCGATCCCTTCTCTTGTCTCGACAGCCGACGTCTTCAAGTCGATTCCAGCAGGGGTCAAACTCGGGACCAACCCACCAAAGACCAAAGACCAAAGGAACCACTCCCTCTTGCCCAGTTCGGCGACATCTCCGGGGATCAAGACTCTAGACACAGAGCATATATGGTCAACTCGGCCACCACAAAGCCATGACACTCACATCGCTATGCCGTGCCACAAGGCCACTCATATCCCCAATGGTCCAGAGTGGCACCCCCGCACGAACCATGGGCTCTCTGTCCGGCATCCACCGAGGAATTCGTCGCTCCGACAAGAACACACGCCAGTCAGACGGCGGCAAGCCCATGACATATCGCGAGAGACAGGAAGCCCGTGCCAACGTCGCCCCTCCGCCATTCCGGATGTTCAGGGGCAAGAAGGATATCACCGACTATCCCGACAAGGCACCCAAGGCCCAGACTCGTCGGGCGCGCTTCTTCGACCCCGAATCCAACTTTGGCAAGAAGAGTCTGGTCTACAAGGTCAAGACGGGCAAGATCGCAGACGAGCTTGGGTCCGATGCCTTCGGGGACGCCTTGAAGCCAGCACAGTCCCGATCCAGTGGGGGTGATGTCTTTAGCGACAAGATCCGGGGGTTCGGCAGCGACGGGCAGGATTTCGGTGCTGCGCGGGGGAGAGGCGGGCGTGGGCGCTCTGGGGTTTCCTCGCCACGCCAACAACCCAATGATTTTGGCGATGCTACGGGATCCAAGCCAACCAGGCCAAGCTCGTTTTCAGCTGGTGATGGCCGAGGTCGCGACTTTAGCAAGTCTCGGGACTCGAGCGACAGGTCCAGGTCGGTTAGGAACTCTCGGGGCGGTCCCCGTGATTTTGGAGCCTCGAGGGAAGGGCGCTCCTCTGGTCGTTTCGGAGGGTTGAGAGAAGACCGACCGCCAGGCCGGTTTGGAGGGTCAAGAGAAGACAGCCCCACAAGCAGCTTCGAAGGGTCAAGGGACGATCGCCCCTCGGGGAGTGTCGGAGGGTCAAGAGAAGACCGCCCAGGCAGTTTCGGAGGGCAAAGAGAAGATCGCCCGTCAGGCCGCGACAGCCGGGACCCTGACGAGACGAAATCCGCCACCTCCTCCGAGGAAAGACCCATGTCATCAACACCCTTCCGCCTGAAGTCGTCCAACCCCTTTGAAGACTTTGACGGAAGATCACCCCACCGGGATCACCCCATATCCATCCCCTACACGACGGCCGCATCCCAATTCCTCTACGGCAAGTCCGTGGTCGAAGCCGCCCTCCGCGGCGCCCGCCGCAAGTTCTACAAGCTCTACATCTACCGCGGCCGCCAAGAAGAGATAACCAAGAGCCAGCGCTACGCCGGCATCTACCAAGAAACGCGCAACGCACAAGACACGTCGATCGAGCTCCTCGCCAGCCAACACAAAGTCCAAGTCGTCAACCTCCGCGAAGACGGCCTCCGCCTCATGGACAAGATGGCCGGCGGCCGCCCCCACAACAACTATGTCCTCGAAGCCTCCCCGCTCCCCCAACTCCCCGTCATCTCCCTCGGCGCTCTCGCCGAGGCCCCCTCCCCACCCGGCTTCCACGTCTCCCTCGGGCACCAATCCGCCGAAGAAGCCGCCATCGCCGGCACCTCGGACTTCCTCCCGACCCCCGCCGACGCCACCCACAAGCCCCTCGTCGTGCTCCTCCACGGTGTCCTCGATCCCGGCAACGTCGGCGCGCTCCTCCGCTCGCTCGCCTTCCTCGGCGCCACCGCCGTCGCCACCACCAAGCGCGGCTCGGCGCCGCTGTCACCCGTGGCACTCAAGGCGGCCGCCGGCGCGTCCGAGACGCTCACGCTGCTGAGCGTTGACTCGGCCGAGCGGTTCCTCGACGAGTCGCGCGCCGCCGGGTGGGAGGTGTACGCGGCGGTGCCACCGCCGGCGAGCGGACGGCACGCGCGGCCGCACCTGGACGTGCGCGGGCTTGAGGACAAGGATCCGCTGCGAGAGAGGCCGTGCATCCTGCTGCTGGGGAGCGAGGGGGAGGGGCTGGGGAAGGCGGTGCTGAGGCGGGCGGACTTTGATGTGAATATTCCGAATGTGCTGGGGTCGGAGGTGGTGGATAGTTTGAATGTGAGCGTGGCGGGGGCGTTGCTGTGCAGCGCGTTTCTAAGGGGGGTGGTGGGAGAGAGGGTGGAGAAGGAGCGGGAGGAGGGGAAGAAGTTTAGTTTGTTTTAGGGGGGTGAAGAGATGTAGTATACTGTACTTGTACTTATAGTGGATCGTGATTTCTTGGGCCGTGGTGGTGGTGGTGGGAACGGAGAGTGATCCAAATCTCTTGGCAGGCACCAAGATCAACGTCCCAAGAAAACATGGTAGTACGAACACAATGCAGGGTCGGTGGCTTGCATGGACGGTTGGAACACGGAAACTCTATCTTCTCGTCATTCTTTGGTCATAGTGAGCCGTACATTTTGCCTCTTTTGTCGCAATGACATGGAAATAGAGACATGCTGCCTGTCCTCCAAGCATGGTATTTTGGCATCGAGTGTTTTTGTTCAGGGGCAGTTGATCCAGTGATGGCCAGACCTCGCCACCCTTGTCGTCTGTCGTGTTCCCGCATCGGGGATCGGGAGAAGCCGAGCCTGCTACCCCGACCCCGGCCGCCCGCAAAAACCCCCACGGTGCCCGCTGTTGGTTGTTCGTTGTCGGTTGTCCGGTTGGTTGTTCTCCTTCCCGCTTCGTCGTCGACAGTCAACACCAACACCCAATAACGACCTGCCGCGACTGCTTCAACACTACAGCGTCACACCCAAACGATTGGGATCGCTACACTACACTCGTTCAAACTATTCTTGTACTTTTCTGCTGGGTTTCCACGAGGTCGCCCCCGTGTCATTGCAGACCGCATCCATTGTTGATGTCGTCAGGGGACAGTTCAATACACCGCGCTTCAAGACTGGCCATCACCGTCTCGGAATTAACACCACCACCACCACCACCACCAAAATGCGCCCATTACCAGTCTCCCTCTGGGCTCTCATAGCTGTCCAGATCGACGCCCTCACACCGCCTTCCCAACAACCCCTCCCAACCGCCATTCGCAAGATGCCCCCCGACCAAGGCGCCAAGTTCTACCACTCCGACTGCGCCTTTCACGACCATGTCTTCGCACCCGCCCCCGAGCGCCCCCTCTCCCCGGCAATAGCGGCACGCAACCCCTTTGAGGAAGAAGACGCCCGACGGCGAAGCGCCAACAGCTCGGCGACTCTCAACTTCCGACCGCCATTCGCCCTGTCCCTCGACGACGACACATCACCCGACAGACAAGCCCTCCTCGGTCGCATCGTGCTCGCCCGCCTACAAAAACGAGACTGGTCTTGTCCCACGGGGACCTCGAACTGCGACGCCATCGGCTTCCCCAACTCGTGCTGCAAAACCAACGAGCGCTGCGTCCAAGTCCAAGACACAGGCCTCGGCCCCGTTGGCTGCTGTCCCGCCGGCGCGACCTGCTCGGGCGGCGTCCAGAGCTGCACCGACGGGAGCACCGCCTGCGCCTCGGACCTAGGCGGCGGGTGCTGCGTCCCGGGCTTCATCTGCCAGGGCATCGGCTGTAAGCCCCTCTCCCCCTCCCACACCGCCCAGCCCACCAGCTAACCCTCCCCGTGTCCAGGCGTCCACCCCTCCTCCGCGACCCCCTCCCTCATCACGCGCACCACGACCTCCACCGCCATCATCTCCAACAACCCCGCCGCCCCTCCCTCCACCGTCCTCGTCACCGTCGTCATCACCCTCACCCCCTCCGCCGCCCCTCCGCCCCCACCCAAAACCAGCACCCTCACCCAAACCCGCACCCTGTCCACCGAAACCGACGACGGCCTCGGCGCCCCCTACCGCCCCACCTCCCTCACCACCACCCCGAAGCCCCCCGCCGGCACGACGACTGGATCCTACTGTCCCACGGGCTTCTACCCATGCCTCGCCTCTGACGGTGCCGGGTGCTGCCAGACGGGCCGCGACTGCCAGACGACGAGCTGTCCGCCGCCGCCGGTCATGACGACGATTGTGGCGACGGACGGGGTGACGGTTGCGGTGCCGGTGGGGGACAACAGCGCGTCGGCGACGGGGCAGTGCGCGGGGGGGTGGTTTCTGTGCGGGAGGGAGGCGGGGCCGGTGGCGGGGTGTTGTCCGAGCGGGTATGATTGTGGAACGGCGAGTTGTTTTGTGCAGGGGGCGGGAGAGACGGGGGCGGTGGGGAAGGTGTTGCCTGGGGCCGCAGCGGGGAGGAGTGTGGGGGTTAGGAGGGGGGTGGCGGTGGTGGTGTTGGGGTGGGTGGTTTGGGGGGTTGAAGGGGGGTGGTGATGGGGAGGGGTTGCATTAACGGGAGCGAGCGATTGTTATCATTAGATGAGAGATGTATATTTGTTATGATGTGGATATGAGAGACGACGAGATACGGCATAGAAAGACACCCGTGCTGGACTTCAGCCACAGCGGCATAATAATACCACGACCATCACACCTCCACTTCCCTCTCCTCAAACCACTTCTTCAGCTCCTGGGATGGAAAGTTTCCCAGGTTGGTCCCCATTCTGTAGCAACTGCCCATATAGGCCAAGGTTTCGAAGTATCTCTCCATAAGATGGTTCGTGGGGTGAGCGTGCGGTGGTGTAATGAGTAAGCACTCTGATTAGCACCCAGAGGTTCTCGGTTCGAATCCGGGCCCCCTCACAGTTTCACCTAGTCCTTTCGTGGCTGGTTAGTTGGACACTAAACTAATATCCCTGTGTGGAGCCAACGACCTGTGTGCTCACCTAGGTGCAGGACACAGATGATACTCTGACTTGACGGGCCCTGAAAATTCTTATTTTTTGGTCGTTTTTGCATTCGAAAATGGTGCTCAAGACATCTTCATTCTGGTCCCCTCTTCTCGTCGCCGGCTATTCTGCATTTTGCTCGAGACATCCCCTCTCCTCGCACCACTTCTTCACCTCCTTCTCCAGCATCTCCCTCTGCCGTCCCACCAACTCCATCATCTCCTCCGTCACCGTATCCCTCCCCCCCTTCCCCCCCTCCACCAGCTTCACCCCCTCCCACACCCCCTCCATCTCCAACAGCACAGCTGAAAGCTGGTTCGGCAACCACGTCACAATCGGACTTCCCCCAGTTGCGGTCGGATGTGCCGTCCTCTTGAGGATATACTCCCTCGCAAAACACCAATGCCGCCACCGAAACTCGCGGATCTGATCCAGCACCCCCAGCCACAGCCGCCGGGACCGCCTCACCTCCTCCCCGTCCTTGTGCAAGTCCTCGCCCAAACCCAACACCCACCCCTTCAACCCAACCTGCAGACTCCTCTCCCCGACCCAATTCAGAAACTCGCGGTGGTTCTCCGGCCGGTACGACCGGAAATCATGCAGGATCCTCGTCAGCGGCGTCTCCGGCAGCGGCAGCGCCACGAGGTTGTCGAGCAGCGGGATGATGGAGTCGTTGGCGCCGGACTCGCCGCGGTAGGAAACACCTTGCCCCTGTTAGCCGTGGGCATCAACACACGGTAGAAGAAGGTGGGACTCACTCTCCCCTTTCTCCCCGACCCCCTCATAAACCACCCCCCTTGGAAACATCCCCTGCCCCTTGACCCCAAAGATGAACGTCCTAAACCCCGTATACTCCGCCGGCTTGGAGCGCCGCCACATTGTCTCCATCACATCGTTAATCTTGCGCATCGCGCCCACCACGTCCTCCAGCGCGGTGTTAGCCTCGGCCCGGGACGGGGTGGACAGGAGAGCGAGCACGGCGCGCACGAGGTCGCCCGAGTGCGAGGCCATCTCGACGTGCGTGAGAATGAAGCCGGCTTCCGACGAGGACGGGTCGAGGCCGTGCTCGAAGGCGCGGATGAGGCGCAGGGATTGGGAGGGGTGGGTGAGGGGGAGGTGCGGGTGGGAGGGGGCGTGGTTGAAGAGGGCGTAGGAGCCGGCGTATTCCATGAAGGGTTTGAATGTGCATCTGGGGGAGGGGGGGGTGAGTGGGATGAAAAAGGAAGAGGGGGGGGGAAGGACGACAAACTTACAGCTCGGCACACCGACTCAACGGCCTCGCCACATTCGCCGGCAACACGTCCCTCGCCAGTCCATATTCTTCACCCCTGACAAACCGCAGGTGGCACGGCTCGAGCAGGTACGCCGACGCCAGGAACGAGTAGTCCCGGTACAGGGCGTTCATCAGCGGCAGGTTGTCCTTGTACTTGTCGACGCACGCTGTCAGGTCAGGCAGTTCGGCGACGACGGCGTCGCCCAGCGTGCCGTGGGCCAGCAGGCCGGGCTGCCCCGAGAGGGTCTTGATGGGCATGCGCTGGAGGAGGGACTCGAGCACGTCAAAGTCGGAGGGGAGCACGGCGATGGGGTGCATCCGCGGGAGGAAGCCCCGGGTCGTCGAGACCATGAAGGCGGGGAGGGAGGTGTTGTCGGGTTGGGGGTCGTCGAGAACGGGGAAGGGGGAGGAGGGGAGGGAGCCCATTGTGGTTGGTTGGTGTTGTTGATTTGGGGTTGGGTGCCTGGGTTGGTGTTAAGGTAGGTTTGAAGGTGCTTCGGATTCTGATTCTTTCCATGCTTCCCAAAGCGAAAATCACGGCGCCTATATAGAGGGTGGCCGGAATGGATTCCGGCCTCATGGACCAGCGTCGACGCCCATGTCTGCATGCCTCCCAGTTGCGTTGTGTCAGTCTTTTCTCTGCAGACGAGTCCCGGCGATTCTCTTTGTCATGGAGGATGGCCACGAGACCGGAGTCCAGCACTTGTTGTCGTCGACATTGTCGTCGGCACACCGACTCAAAGGCCATCAGCGATGTCTCAAGATGAACTGGAGCAATTTGTTTAGGATCTTGATATCGGCAACGCCCCTGTGTAAATGCGTTTAGCTTCTAGAAGTGAAGATAATTTGACTCCGGCAATGTCGGAAAATAGTCTCTTCAGGCAATGCCCCCTTTTATCCCGTGTTTGCGGGGGATCAAAGACGTCCGAGCTGTCGACGGCGGTCAGCCCGGCTCGACGCCAGCAAGACACAGGATGGATGCGGCAGCAGTCGCAAATGATGGTGTGCACGATGCAGAGTTGAGTAATAGATTGGTGGAAGCTCCGCTCTTGTCCGGCCATAACCGGCCTCAGCCGGCCACCGGTCGCCAAAACGGCCGGACCAATTCCGGCCGTTATCTCCACCGCACCGGCCATCCGAAAAACGGAGATATCCCAGTTTCCCTCCTAGTTTCCACCTACCGTTCCCTGATGCCGTTTTCACGTGGGTTGGGATAGAATGTCGGTCTAGGGAATTGTGCAAGTTGCCCGGTTGCTTTCTGACTGTGAGGTCAACAGAAGACATGAAGGCAAAAGAGGGAGTCACCCATTGGAGATGGCGGCATGCCGAGACGGGCGCCGGTAAGGCTATTCCCCCCTCGACCACCGAGATATGGCGCAATGGAACGCCGAGAGCGCCCTTTCCACACACGTCTGTCCAACATGATGACCAAGAATTTTCACATCCCATCCATAAAACCATCACCACCCTTCCCCTTTCCACGTCCGCAAAAGCCAAACCTACTCACACATCCACAACCTACCCCACCCATCTCAAGCCATCAGCACCAACACAACCGAACGGCAACCTCGGCTCCTCCCCGCATCTCCACAGAAATCTCCGACCCCTCCGGCACCGCAGCCCCGCACGCCCTCCCCTTTTCCGGCGCCGACTCCGACCCTTCCTCCGACATCAACACCCCCCAACATCACCACTCACCCCCAAACCAACCTCACACCCCAAATCACATCCCCCCCCCCCTCCCAACCAAAATGGCAGACCCCTCCCTCTCCCCCCCCCTCACCCGCCCCTCCCTCCTCTCCGCCCACGCGCTCATCCGCCCCCACATCCACCAAACCCCCCTCCTCACCTCCACCCACCTCTCCCACCTCGCCTCCTCCCCCCTACCACCCACCGCCCTCCACCCCTCCCCCTCCACCCCCACCATCCGCCTGCACTTCAAGTGCGAGAACCTGCAGCGCGTCGGGGCCTTCAAAGCGCGCGGGGCGTTCCACGCGCTGGCGCGCCTCGCGCTCGACCCGTCGTGGAACCGGGCCGAGGGCGTGGTGACGCACAGCAGCGGGAACCACGCGCAGGCGCTGGCGCTGGCGGCGCGGGAGATGGGGGTCAAGGCGACGGTGGTGATGCCGTCGGTGTCGCCAGCGCCCAAGGTGGCGGCGACGCGGGGGTACGGGGCGGAGGTGGTGTTCTCCGGGTCGACGGGGGCGGAGAGGGAGGCAGTGGTGAAGGAGGTGGTGGCGGAGAGGGGGGGGAGGGTGGTGGTGCCGTATGATCGTGAGTTTTTTCTTTCTTTTTCTTTTTCTTTTTCTGCGTTTTGTTCCTTTTGCCTTTTTTCCTTTTTGGGTGGGGGATGATGGATGGGACGTTGCCATCCCCCCTCCCCCCTCCCCCTTATCACGACACACCCATCCAAACAAACAAACAACCCCCCCTCAACGCTAACCCCCCACCAGACCCCGACATAATCCTAGGCCAAGGCACCGCCGCCATCGAACTCCAGGAGCAATTCGCCGCCTCCCACCCCGAGAAACACCTCTCCGCGATCCTCGCCCCCCTCGGCGGCGGCGGTCTCCTCTCCGGCACCGCCCTCGCCTGCGAAGGCACGCCGACCCTGGTCTTTGGCTCCGAGCCGTCCTTCCAGGGCGCCGACGACGGCCGCCGGGGCTTTTACTCCGAGTCCGGCGAGCGCATCACGGCTGTGTCGTCGCTGACCATCGCCGACGGCCTGCGAACGTACGTGGGCGCCATCCCGTGGTCCGTCATCCACGGCCGCAAGCTGGTGCGGGGCATCTACGCCGTGAGCGAGGACGAGATCAAGGCCGCGCTGCGGTTGGTGTATGAGCGCATGAAGCTGGTCGTCGAGCCGAGCGCCGTGGTGCCGCTGGCTGTGGTGCTGTTTAACGAGGAGTTTCGGAGCATGGTGGCGAAAGAGGGCGGGGAGGAGGGGTGGGATATTGGGATCATTCTTTCCGGGGGCAATGTTAGTCTCGAGGCGTTGGGCAAGCTGTTTGCGGAGTAGCGACGCAGAGGCATACAACCGCGTAGTCACCAGTAGACTAAAAATAACAACACACATCTCAGACAAATCCTTATCAGCTTGCTTGGTATATATACAGTGGTACAGCTGAAATCCCGATTAAGAAAAGAGGCAAAGTAAGGCTTTTTGGAACCCCCCCTTTTCCCGTCATGTCATCCGATCCGCAGAGAAATCACACTCAGAAAGAGGCAACCTGCCCAGTACCATTCGCCGCCTCCCTGTGTCAAGCATAACTGAAAAACACCATCCCATCATCCCATCACCTGCAGAACCTTAGTTGTTCTCGGGGCGGAGGGAGCTACACGTCTGTCAGCATGGTCATGGCACGGAAGAGGGAAGCAAAACATACCGGACAGCCTTGCCGGCCCGCCAGATCTCCAGGTTGCGAATCTCCTCCATCTCGGCCTCGTACTTCTCGCGGTAGTTGGGGGCGCCGTTGTACTCGAGCGAGCGCTTGGTCTCCTCGCCGTTCTTGACCGAGTCGTAGAGCGAGTTGAAGACGGGCTTGAGGGCGTCCTTGAACTTGGGGGTCCAGTCGATGGCGCCGCGGCGGGCCGTCGTCGAGCAGGCCTCGAACATCCAGTCCATGCCGTTGGCACCGATG